CCAGTAGCGCAGTTGGATATGAAGACGCACGCCGCAGACTTTACTAATATCGTCATTCTTAAATAAATGTGACCAAATGTTTATACTAGTTGCGATTCGCTAGTACTAGCTTTAGCATATATATACATATGTCAAATCATGGTAGTACATGACAATTTTTTAAAGTTCAAAGATAACGATGTGTATTGTTAATTTGTCTACCCTGATAAAAGGTGGACGACTCAAATGACTAAGCTTCTTACCGTGAAAAGTTAGAAGTCGCATGTTGATTACCTATCAAGCGAATCAGAATTACTATAAGAGGGACGAGTACGGTTTCATTTAAGTTTGTACATGTTTACACTTCCATTCAGAGGTTTGTGCCCGCGCTGGATCGTCTATGGGTTTCTCCAGATAGTGTCTGGTAAATAAGGTAGAGGTCTCATATTTTAGCGTTTAGCATATAAAGTACTGCCCCATTTCTGCCCTCACTGGAAAGAACGTTTTTTCGAAAAGTTTCCATGGGCATTCGAAGCTGTAATTTGGCGGCGGTTAAAACCAAATAAGGTGGATTTTGTTTCGGCTTCCGTGCATGCAATTCGCAATGGATAGGCTCATAGCGTTTTATTGCTAAAAATCTTGTGATAGCAACGCCATTTCCTAGCCATCATGAGCAGGGTAATTCTTATCAAGTAGGCTACTCCATTCTTCCACGCGTTACACCAGGAGTGTCAGCACGTCCGTCGTAGCATATGTTCCCACTATATAGTTGTCGTCCTTTGCTACATTCAGCACCCCAAGGCAGGGGCTAAATTTAATGAAAGCAGTAGTGCATATGTTCGCTTACTTAGTATACTAGTAGTATGATCGAATACAGGTTTTATTTGACAAGATGGCCTTAACTACTTTCCACTAAACTCGAGGACTATATTTTGAATCGGCTTTTCCGATTGAAATCGTCGATACGCTGCTAGTTCCACTAATATTCGCCGTTCTCCCAGGAGACAGGCCGCTGTAGGACAGATGGTACAATCGAATGTCTTCAAATTGTACTTGTCAAAGTGCTCCCTTATAAAATACCTCCCTCTAATTTCTAAATGTTTAGCAAGGAGGTGCATCCTCCTGAAATATGTGTCGGCCCTACGGCATATGAGAGGAAATAGCTGCTTAAGATTAGTTCTAGTTGTTGGTATTTTACTGTTTGTAAATCACATCATACAGCTGCCGTTTTGTTTCTACGTAAATAACGTAGAAGCCATTCACGCTATATAGTTTCAAAGAAACGTGACAAAATAAAAGAAAAAGCATTATTTGCTTGGGCACCCCTGTCATAGCTATCATGTTTTTTCGAGTACTCCGAATAGAGAATGCAAAATTCAATTGAAGGAAAAGGACATTTTCGTCGAGAAGGACAATGAATGAGTCGGCAATGCGTTCAATTCAATGTGGCGACTGCCATCGACGAGATCAGGTGGTGTGCTGGCATTATGTTTCTATGGTGGTACGTGAAGAGCTATTGCGGCTGTTGTTGTTAGAAAACAACGGTAGCTGAAGAAAAAGGTCGCCGGCTGATATTACACACATATCATTGGATCACCGTTCTAGCTACAAATGCTACGACTCTAGTGCTGTTTTAGTGAAAGTGATAAAAAAAAAAAAACAATATCGAGAACATTTCGACGTGTCATGTCTGTTTGCCTTCTTCGATTGTTAACAAGCAAAGAGTTTTTCTACTGGTTGCACCGTAGAATGGTCGATATCATTCTGATGTCTAGCAAATTTTAGAGATCGTTCTTGTTGTAACAGGACAGATGACAAATGGCTAATAACGTTGATCTTATTTGTCGAGGAATGTAGTGACGAGACGGAATTAGAACGTACGAGTGACGAGAATGACAGAAAAATCAACACAAACACCACCTATTACTATTTGCTCATATACTGTGACTGCTTTGGGCTGTCCACCACAGCGAAAAAAGGAAATTGGAACAGAACATTAATTCTACAGACTGAGAAACAGACTCAACTGGTTCGGACGATAGAGAATCTGCCAGTAGTTTAGTTTTCTACGCATAATGGGGCTTTGTCGTTGTCCGAAACGTAAAGTAACGACGCAATTCTGCTATGAACACCGGGTCAACGTGTGCGAATCGTGCATGGTTGAGAATCACCCAAATGTAAGTGGGGGGCCAATCAAGTGCCCAAACGAATCTACCAACAAAGTTCTATTAGAATTAAAAACAGCACGTTTCATAAATCAGTGTAATTATGCTCCCTTACCTAAGTGATTCTGCTTCGAAACATCAAGAGTCCTGTTTATGCATAGAGTTGTTAGTAATATAGGCAGCAATTTGATCAGTGCTGAAACTTCGTTGGGTTTAAAAGCCCCGCCAACACAGTATAACTGTATATATTGTTTGAAAAAAAAAAAGAAGCTTAAAATATGAGCTTTTTTCAAACATCAAACGGAGTCAATAAGCTATACTATTTTTCAGTTTTTGCTGCCAGGTTTTGTAACTTCATTAGAATCTCGTATTCCAAAATAGTGTTTCACTTCTCTATTTCTCATTCATTTCTTTCTGAAAACGAGGTTGGTTGGAGATAATATGTGTGATGATGCGTTTGAGTTTTTTTTCTTTACGGTTTAAACTAAATACATAGTAATCTGACGGAATAAGGTTGACTCTATTTCATAAATCCGTGATTGTTTTATGTTCAAGGTGACGTTTGCTTAGCAGGCTATTCAACATCCTTTAATAACATCGTCCGCCCCTGAGTAAGGCTCGATTTTCAGATTAATATTATATACAAATATACGTTCTGATCATTTATACACTTTCAGAAAATTATCACGGCCTATGTATATAGCAAGCCGTGGCTCCGTCAGGTGAAGCACTGGGATTGAATCAATGACTATTTAATTCGCCGTCATCATCACAATTAACGATTTAAATTTTCACCTGTCCAAATATATTCAATCGAAGAATCGTTATCATAAGTATGTACTCGAAATGTCGATGGTCAATCCTTTCGTGTGGACCAGCCAGTAGCAAGAAAGTGCTCGTTAGATCTTTTGCAGAAGTGGAAAGTTCTTAAAAGAAAAGACGTGAGGATGGTCACTTAAATGAAAACTTGATTGGTCCCTTCGTTTTTCGTCATGAGCGCGCGAAGCATCGAACGAGACATTCAGCAGAAATGACAAGCCCGAAGTTCATAATTGACACCAGTAGATTTCGCCATAATTAAGCTAGAATATTCCTTTTGGCCGAGTCTGGATGAGTGAACTTTTTGACACTTTGTTGTTCAAGCAGACACGCCGGTGACCTAGAAAGCAAATCATCGTCGTCTCCATCTTCCGAGTCCATTGAGTCGAGGTCTAAAATCCCCATGATCTCATAAGCCGTTTCGCTTATTCGGAGCTACAGCATTGTGACGTAATTCGTATGCTTGGTACTTCGATCGCCACTGAAGAAACTCACTCGGGAACTGTGTGAATTAATTTCCCCAATAATTACTATTGAATATTTCCTGTTATTTTCATCGGTCCGCGTGATGTGTACACGGAAAAAAATACAACAATTTTTCGAAATAACAATTCGCTCTGATATAGCATGGATTGTTATATGTCCTAATGGTGAATGGTCTCGTTGTTTCAATAGTTAGAGAAATTGATGTAATGCCCTGAACTATATGGGAAAATAATGGTATAGTTTTGTAAGAGTTTATTACGTTCAGTCGTCCAATGTAACCAACTGCAGTAAAGCATCTATTATACCCATTGCAATAGGAGAAAGGTGTTATTACAAGCTTTACGTCCGGTATCGCCGTTAGGTCTTCGATCAGATGACTGGTTCCCAGCACGAGACGAAGCCTCTTTACGCCCTACTTCGATGTAATAGGGTGCCTATAACAATGCGAACACAACTTCGCGGGCTCGATGGTCCTTGGGTATTGAATGCTCCCGGCTGCAGAAAAAAACGATTCTTCTTGGCTTACATCGGATGCTTAAGGCGTTAGGGATTCCTTTACGGGGCTAGCTTCGCCCGACACGAAACCAAGCGTGTCTACACCCGGATTCAAACCTATATCTTTTCGTTTGTCTCCAAATTCAGCAAGCACGCTATTCGCCGCGGCACCACGGTGAGTTAACGGAAAGGAGCGATTAAAAGTTCACTCGATCGTCTCTTTGTGATCGATTTCTTCCAACCCGAGCAGACCCATGCTGAAAATGGAACCGGTTGACGGAATACTTTTCTGGCCAAAGGGAAAAATAGGTCCCAGTGCATAGTACCGTCTACAGCCACCAGCATGGTCTGCCCTGATATGTCAGTAGCATGAAGATGCCACTGTTCGAACGAGTGTGATCGATTTGCTCTGCACGACAAACTGTGTTTCAAATATACTACAGAAAAATAACTGTCGCTGCTCAACGTTACATGTATTATAAATATATTAATCATTTAATTCTACATAGGTACAATGAAATGTACCTGCAGCACAAGCGCAGGGCGAAGTCTGCAGCTAACATTTTAGTACAAATTACTTGTAGATCTCCTTCTAGATAGAAAAACGTTCTAGATGCTTGTAGGACCTTGGATATAATTCTATAGCGGATAAAATCTCTTTCACTCTGCTAGGAGTTTGGTCAACACCATCAACTTGTTAGGGTAAGGCAATGAAAATTCTCATATCTTAAGAAGCTTAATTATAAAATAAATAAATGCTAGCGAGTCGCAGAGGATTTAGTACAAGCAACGACTATATTTTTCAAAATAGCTTTGTTAGTTGCAGTCACCGTCGTTCGCTCCGTACTTTCAAGTTTCTAATAGATGCTAGGCATACCGAGCCAAAGCCTCGTTAAGCACTGAAGAAAATTTTCTTCCTATTTTAAATAAAAATAATTATAAAATTATTTGAAAGAGTACGCATTCAGTGACCGTTTGACGGAAAGATAGAATTATTCAGGCTTATTATGCCAAAGTACGATCAGCGTATTATCACATGTCATCTATCTGTTTCAGTGTATCGTCCAAGGCTATCTTCAATGGTTGAAAGATTCGGATTACGAGCCTGTGTGCACTTTATGTAGAAGGGAACTGATTCAAGAAGAATGCGTACGACTTTTGTGTTATCGTACGTATTGGAATTCTAGAAATTTAACCTTGCTGAAGTAACTATTTATTGATTTCTATTTTCCAATTTCTTGTCACATATGCACCTTATTTCTTTCTTAGCCCGTGAAAGAAAGGTAGAATTAAGGAGCAAGTAGTGCTGAATTTGCCTGAGCTTAGACAATAAATGCTTCTCTTCTCTTCTTTTTTTTTTACAGATGTGTTCCACTGGCGATGTTTAGATGAACAATTATCCCAGTTGCCCTTGACAACAGCCCCAGCAGGCTACGCATGCCCAATGTGCGGTCATGAAGTCATTCCGAGGTAGCTAACATTCATCAGATAACATCTCCCTATTCTTTCAAATGCTTGCAAAGTGTAGTCGTCAAATAATAGTAAAATTAACTTCATAGACGAAATTTCGATGCCCTATATATTTAGTGCTTTCCCTTGCAAATCGTTTAATAACGTCTTTGCCCCATTTAGTAGAAGATGCCTAGAATATGAATATACAGTTTCCTTCATTTAATCACAAATGTAGTGTGAGTCAATGGCCGGTTTGAACAAGCGATCTTTGGTTTTTCAACCAAGAAGCTTAGCTCCTTAAGCCACCGCGTCGATAGTAAAATATGAATATTGCGATACAACAAACTGTCATTTTCCCAATATTGTGTACAGGATGTTTATTCAACATTAATTACACCTAATAACACATTAGTACTACACACTCACAGGGATAACGTCGTTTCACCAGTCGCTGACATTGTTCGTGTAAAACTTGAAAGGGCTCGGTGGGCAAATCCAGGAGGTGGTGCGAAAAGGCCGTCAGGGCGGCAGCATGACAGCCATCTACAGCACACACACAACCCACGCGATGTAAGTATTGTTGTTTGTATCTTTTACTCTTATAATATTAGTTGCAATTCACACACTGAAATTAGGATCCTGACCTACGAGTGGTCAGGTAGTAGTTCTTCTCAAAGTGATAGGAATACTATATAATATGTGTACAATCTTCATGTATCACAGTATAGCGTGCCGCTGTTTAGATGCCTATAAACAAATAGCTTTCCTTATAAGGCCGCAAACCTCGGGGGCGATACCCTTGCGCTAGCGTGATGTGACAAAACCAATTTCGGAAGATAATGACTTCGGAGAACGTGATAGTATTTGCAGTCCTACAAGCCTTCTTCCTTTTAGGGCTTACCTTAGTAAAATGTCTAGGCTTCATTTGTACAGCCACACCCCTTAGTTTGTTTATGTCAAATATTCCAGAATTGTATAACTTTTGGCATGATTTTATTTTTCTTTAGATTTTATAGCATAGAGTGCGTTTTATTTCAGTCGGGTTTTACCTGGACATCTTCGAGTCCAACTCCAAATGGCGCATCTCAGTCTTCTTTCATGGATACCGTAAATAGCAATCCACATAGTGCAATCAACGCGATTAGCAATAACAGTGAGTATGCTCGGATTCGTAGTTTACTGAGGTATTTTATAAAGCCAAGCCCATATACCGAAAAAAGGCTGAAGTAAGGCCTATCTTTTGAAACTCGAAAGACAAATGATACCGTTAATAGTGAATGCATTGGGTTCCTATTCAGTCGCTGATCTGTTCCGAAGCAACGTTTTTTTTTTTTATGTTTGACGTTTCGTGTACGCTTGTGTTAGTATTAAATTAAAATTGTTAACAATGTGTGCATGCCTGTCGTCATTCGTCCATATTTATGTTTGTTAAGGCTACGTAAAAACCATGCGTGCACATAAACACTCTACATTACATCTTTCTTAGAGCAGCAATTGTTTATCCAGTCGTAGCGGATCTTCTTATAGTGTTAGGTCATTCACTACGAATGGTGATATAATGAACTCGTCTAGCGAGTTTACTCTCCTCCCTTTACGGAGCGCCATCTTCTGTGACCTTCTGCCATTTGGTTGGTAACTTAATTATTCCACTACTGTAGAAGGATGGTATGCAGACGTCTGTGGAGTCTTGAAAGGCGATTTCGACATCCTGTTGGTATTTGAATAATTTTCCTATAAAAAATACATCGAGACTTCAAAAAAAATAGCCATCTGTGAAAGCAATGTCCAGCGAATATAATGGATAACAGATAGCATCCACCTGTACCTTTGTTTCGCATCTTTTCCGCAGAGACTCTTTTGTATAAGGTCGAAGGATGTCGTGCACTAGGAGATATTCAGCTGTGTTCAATAATCTCGCTTAACGTGGAATTGTTTTCATCACCTCCTTGAAGTGTTGGTGATGCACTTAGTGACAATCATAGGACAAGTCAGGGTCAATCAGGTTGTTGCTAGAGCTTGTATTAGACCATCAAACCAACCAGCTTGTTTATTTACTTTAGATTGATGTACTGCTGATTCAATTGCATCCACCCGCTTTTGCGATTGCCGTAAATACTCTACCGTACCATGTACGATTTTATGTATGACATTCGTTTGACCGAGTTGAATTAGTACAGTGTAGTAGTATACATCAGGCCGGAGAGCTAACATCGATTTCAACTACAGCTTCCAACATTATTCTTTTTTTAGGAGGTTTGCTACTTGCGTTCGAAATTGTCTTTCTAGATTCGTTGAACCAGTAACTTCTACTAGTGGAACTCGTACTAAATAAAAAGTAGTTCTGAGTTGGAATTTATATTCGCAAACCGCTCAAATCTCCAGATTTTCCCTAGCTCGGAATACTTTGCTTACTGAGAGCCCGAGTGACGGTATTCGAGAAAACGGTTTCTGGTTAAAAAGTGTACAAATAAATCTCAACGAAGGTATCTTAAGCCAAGGGAAGCAGACGTGCCTAGTTGAGCAATACTCACGTTATGTCAAAACGCATATTAATTCTACAGAACCTGAGGATCCTGCTCTAATAACCAATTTCTATAAAACGAAGTTCTTAACTTTTGAAATAGAGTGGAACAGTAAGATACAACACGTTGTAAGATACCTCCTTATGTTATGTACTTCGCTCTCTGACGATCTTATGGAAATAAACGTTGTCAAGTTTTTATCAGATTGTAGCAGTCTGATCCCTTTGCAAATTAATTTTCCTGTAATATATTTTGAAATCCTATCAGATCTTAAATGCTCACATTCGCATTTGTATAAATCAACTATGAGTAATAGATCACTGTGCCTCGTTCTACAACAGGTCTAAGTTACGGAACTTCGGCTTTATTCGTGCACTGAGTAGCGATTCGGGCTATAGTAAAATCAGGCAGAAGAAAGGCTATTTTCTGTTAAAAATCATTAGTAACGTTTTCGATGACCTCACATTATGGATAAGAATGTTTTATATTTGCTTGCAGCAGAAACCCACACATTAAAAAAATTGAAATATTTGCTAAATTGATGCTTTTCCAATCACCTTCTTCTTTATGATTCAATACTTAACAAAAGAGAGTTGTTTCATCTGCTGTTTAAATTAGGGCCGCAAATACTGGGTGTTTCTTGGCCACCAATAGCGAGGCAAGAGCAAAACGATTTTCTCCAAGTTTGTTCTCATTCTATTTTTTTTTTTATCAATTAAAGCAAATATAATGACCAACTTCCCTACCACTAATTTTCTTCATTATACACACGATTTTAGAGGTGAACACACCCATTGATTTTTTTTCGGAGTGATTGTGTAAATGTGAACGATTATCGATTATAGTATATGACGTATTTTGTTAATACAAATATGTTACGGTGTTAATTAGTTGTAACTTTCAGTTGTTAATTACCTACAACTTCATTTTAGCTACGTCTTCAAGAGGTCCAGCATTACTAAAACAAGGAGCTGCTTTCTTCGAAAGTTCTATACCGTCAGTACCTGGCCGCTCATTTGTATCACCCCAACATTCGTTATCGCGGGGTGAAGACGAAGATAAATACAAGAAAAAATCGGTATTAGAACTTATTCACAGGTCAGTTAATGTTACTACCGTTTACGTAAAATGCGTATTATGATAAGGGAAGTGCCAGTAAGTGAAATTTGTTCATCGGAATGAGTTATGTTTCTTTTGCGTTTCAAAATATCTGCACTCGGGCAGAGAGAAGGGAAACAAAAGTCCGGGGGAGCCAGTTTGATAAGTTTATATATCTTTTGCTGTACATGTATGTGATTGGGGTAAATGGTATCAATACAGTAACACATGTTTTGCATTTGATTTTTGTAGGTGGTTTCAATCAAAGCTTCTTCTTGGTGGCCGGAGACGGGGAGACCCAATGAAACGATGGGCAGCTATAATAATCGCCATTGCAATCGGGATGCTTCTAATGATCTATTTTATGTCCCGCGTAGGTCAGTTGTCAGCCGAGTTAGATCCAATGTTAAGTCCAAATTTCAATCCGGCGTTGCGGTCTCGGGACAATTAGAAACAAAATCGTCACGACGATGGATAACAGCTTAATCCAGTCCTGCTTTCCCAAAGGACATTCAATGCCAACAGCTGACAAAAATGTGCGTCCTTTCCTCATTGGTTATTCGTCAAAGAACCTTCAAACGGCATTATTGAATCCATTCGTGATACATGTCAATCCGACGAAGGGAGCCAAACAACCGAAGAACAACGAACCGTACGTGGCAGACTGCATTGGATACAGGTTCAGCATTCAATTTTATTCCTTAAACTCTGAGCGATCATAGCACACAGATGCATACATTCCAGGTACACTTACCTGTTAACAAAGTCGGGTAAAATATTTCTCAAGAGTATAACACGTGTTCGAGTTGGGTGTCGTTGTAACCGCTTGCGGTTACGTTACGGTTACGTAAGAGCTACATCTTGAATTTTTTGCATGCCGATGCGAGACTTTCCATGTTGATACATACTGTATTAGTAAAAATACGGTCTATCTTCTCATTGAAGTTTAACATAGAAAGCTCCAAATAAGTAGTCGGAGTGACTTTTTAAAAAACAAAACCCACAGAAAGTTTTATCAGAGGCTGGATATGAAGTAGATGTTAGCTCATTCTCTAATTCGAGATAAAGGCATCGTTTCGGTTTCACAGTCTGCTATTTGCTAGTTTATTCGAATGCTGAATAATGATTTCAACAAATGCACACTCTTGTGTGTTTTTTTCTAACGGGACGATTTAACTTAAGGTAAATTTTCTCGTAACAAGTGGTAGATGTTACCTCCTTCGGAAGCTAACGATTTATTAAAAAAAACATCTACCAATTTAGGTAATGCCTAATATAGCGAACATGATTAAAATAAAACGTTTCTAGAAAAACTCGATATTTTTTGAAGGTGTATTTTCTAAAAATGGCCAATGTGTTTTCTTGACTTTCTAGCCATCGGTTCTAACGATTGTTTAATTTTTTCTCCTCTTCTTAAATATGGCGAATGCTACATTCTGATACGCCATAAATTCCTTCTTGAATTTCCACTTAGAGCATATGTTTTATCTGCCCAGTTAGGGGCCGAGGAAGACTAGGTCAGTGGAATGGGACGTAGCAAAGAGGGTCAAAAAACAAAAAAAAAATACGTCTCCTAGGGCTGTTCCGAGCCAAGACCCAGTGAGATTACTTTTGTTCTGATGCCTTCTCAATATCAGTATCTGTCATATTCTATGTATGTTTAAGAAATTATTTATTCAGCGTCTACGTAGCGTATTGATTTAAACGTCAATAAAGCAGTGTTTGATTCATTTATTTTCGACAAATCCATAGTCTCTTCTGTCTCTGTATTTGTGTCGATATTTGAAGTGAAGGTGACATTTTGCTCAGGAAGACACTCCTAAATATGTACATATATACTCATCACTCGGACGCTATCGAATTGACCAATTGCAGCTTTTATTAACAAATAAGAATTTTAATAAGCTATAGGAAATAAATTTTAATAAGCAAAGTATAATTGTTTCTAAATATGAATATAGTGATTATGCATAACCTTTAGTACGTGTATATATAATTTATAATAACATTTAATACAAACAGAAAAACAGAACATTGTTTCAAGAGTGGCAAATGAGTAATGCTGAAGGTATTCAGACTTTGTTAATTTCATTACTGAGCAATTAAGTATATATGTATTCTTCTGTGTTTAGTGAAGCTTTGCCCATTTTATTCTATTATTATAATTAATTATGGCTTAGTTTGCTGTTTGCCAAATGATTGACAAATTTATTTTTTTGGTGTCAACTCGACACTGGTACTTTTGGATACCTAGCGGCATCAGTGGCCTTTGGGGTACACTACAACACTTACTCCCTTTTGAAATATATATTGCTTCAAGGAAAGATAAACAATATATTTGACAGATAGAAGAAGAACATGGATTTGAAGAAACGATTGACTCGATATTGAAGGCTATTTTTGAGGTCGAGTATTGAGGTTTCAAAGAGTGTAGGCGTTTTTGAAAAACACAGTCGCTTATTTTTCCACCCCGTATTTGGAAAACGGTGGGCTTTAACCGAGTGGGACCATTATGATGGGTGTGCGCTTCAAGACTACATGCATATGAGCAAAGGTTTCAAGTTCTGTTCAAGCGAAACCGAAAATATAAAGGGATGGTAGTGAAATGTTTACTTGCCATAGCGAAGCGATACCACGACCGCTATATATCAAGCATATAGTTATAATAAAAACGGTATATATTCTTGCTTCATCAATTAATAGAAGGAGTCAAGCAGTACCTCTTGAGCTTTGATGTATCATCATTGCACTTTTTCCCTAAATAGGGTTGTTCAATCTTTCTTGAAATCGAAGTCTACTAAATCGAAATATAGGATTTTACCAAACAGCTCCACAACTCTGTCCCTCAAAAAAGTTTTCATAAATTAATGTTACTATCTACATAAAGAATACATTTTTTACCGAGCTTATTTTTTTCATATATAACAAACAAAACGGCAATACTTTTACCTTAGTAGTCATTTTTTTTATCGGCAATGTTAACTATAGAAGTTCCTTTTACTACAAGCTGGCTCTAAAATGCCCTGAACAGACATCTATTACCGAGCGGAGAAATACAACGGTGACAGGAAAATAGTGTCCGCTCGAAAGTAAGTGAGAAGAATTTATTGTGCATAAGAAAAACACAAACGTTCGTGTAATTTGGCTCAGTTTAGTAGCGGTAATATTCATATAGTAACCTATTAGCTATCGTGTACGTGGGTTTGGATCATGGCAGTGTTTATGTTTAACCCATTTACCGTGTGAAGCTATCAGATAGATAACTTTGTTGCAAAGGAACAAATTAGGAGCGCTTGTAAACGTGTTCCGCATCGACCTGGTCGTGTAGCAGTCGGGCCGTAATGGCACTTGCCGCTTGATGACAATAAAATTAAACGAAGTTAATGCAAAATTCGATCTAGCTAGAAATTTGTCTCCGGGTGTAAATCAGTGGCAAAGCACGATGTTACTATTATTTTCTTTATGTGTCTATACGCAACACTGATGGCCAAGACTCTCAATGCTCAACGATAATCGTTAGACGATTACAAAGATGTCTTCAGTAACTTCAGATACCACTTACTACTTATCTGTGTTTCAATTCGCTGACTAAATGCATTGAATCAGCCTATCGGGCACCCAAATATAAAAATTATGTTAATAAAAAGTTTATAGAACCTGTTTTCAGTTTTAAAGCCAATTATATATACATTAAATCGATATATATATATTCACTGAAAAATAGGAGGGCCCAGCTGGAACCCGCGGACCGATTGCCTTCAAATCGCTGAACAAGAAGTATTACCTTTTCTTTTAACCCTGCCCATAATCAGCATTTCAATGATATCAATTTTTTTGACGCTATTTCTCAAAACTCAAGTCGAGGATCCACTTTTAGAGCAATTCGATACGCGATGCAAGTATACGCCACCGTATCTGCTTTACTGGAAGCCTCACCGTTCGATGACGTAAACTCAATTTATAAACAACGACAATTTTTTTTCAACACCGACATTCAGCTGCATTTATACTGAATTTTTTGAAGGCATTTTTTTTCATAGATTCCAGGTGTTCAGAAATATGAGGAGAATAATAAATTTTTTTTTATATATTCAAAGCTTAAAACAGTTCTAAGGAAAACATAAAATAAGAAGTACTAGAGCAAATATTTCGAGCTCTTTAACTTTGTTCAGGCTTTTCAATTAGGACTTGTCAGGGTACTTTCACAAATCAGCGTATTAGATAAGCAGCTCCAAAGCGAATGATGGAATCATCACGTAGTGCCCGGATAAGATAGAATGTGTGAGAAAAGAGATATCAGGTCAATCGAAGACCTTTGCCACAGCGCTACAGGTACTTACCCGGTGCTGCCGCTGGCCATTAGTGCTTCGGCTTGCTGGTTCCCAGCAAAACGTGTGTGTGAACTTAACCGAGCGAAACAAACTCTCAGTTTCAAACATAGACATAGGAAGAAGTATATAAATGTTTCAAGTTTTACGTTTGGAACCGCCGCCAGGCTGGCTCCCAACACCAAGTAAAGTGTATCTATGCGAAACTAGATCACGATGTGTTCTAAAGGTTAAGTCTAAGGTTTCATGCGGACAGATGTCTCTATGATGAATCACGAGAACAAAAGTTCCCATGGAGAAAGAGTTTTACATTTGTAGGCCCATCTTTACTGGTGGTAGAATCGGCAGGCCGACAAGCCTGCGATTTTTTTCGACTTATATAGGTTCAATTCGCCCCCTAGTCGCAATGTTTCCGGATCATGCCATGGGGATTGTTTCCAGTTACGGAAGTTTTGAGAAGTTTTAGTTTTCAAAAAAAAAGAAAAACACAAACAGGAGTTAATGCGGCATGCTAGTTCCAAAGAGTTTCTACGAGAAAGATGCTTAGGCAATAAGTCAGTGAAAGATCTGGTTAATTTTTGCTTTTTAGCCTTTGTAGTTGGTTCTGGTAGAAAATTTGAACAGCTTGGGAAAGTTCCACTGAAGGTAAACAAGTCGAAGATAAATTTGGCAGGATCGACCCGAAACGGTACATTTAGTTTAACCCTTTCGACAGCAGATACGTGAAAAGGCCTTTTTAATAGGCTTACCTGAATGGCGAGCATAGAAAAAGGGAAGGCAAGTGGAGACTTAAGTAGAAAGCTGAGTATCTAGGTTTGAAACAGGGTCTTACTTGCTAAGTACATTGCGAAGTAGCTTTCAGTAGCTGTTGAATCTAAAGAACGCTGAATAGCTGCGCTTATCCAACGATTTGGGTAGTACGTTGCGTTTGATGTCACAGTTATTGTATAGATCATTGCGATCAACCCATAAGTAGCAATAACAAAAATAAAGTTCGGAAACTTAGTTCTTACGTAACATCCTCGAGTCTGTTTATCCTTAAATATAATAACTCCTCCAGAAAATAGCCGATTTCTTTGTGACTAAAGTTGAATTCAAAATCATTAGATTTGTGTAAATATACAGTCTGGTCTATGTCCAAAAGTGGCGCAACGTTGGTGGTAACTGATTATAGTGAAAATTGGTAGGCAAAATGTTTGCCCTATACGAAGCAGAACCACGTGCACTCGGTGTAGATGTGTATAGTTGTGTGGCGGATGGCCGGCGTCGTCGCTTGGCTCCTAAATAAAATCACCGAAATCCCTAATAGAGTTGTTTGACGCTTACAGCGTAATAATTGTTTTTAATGTTCTTCATTATAACAAGTCCTCTGATAGATACTGCTCTACCTCAAGCGTACCGATTTTACTGCCAAGGGCGAGATCATTGCTAATGTCCGCTTGAGGGGACTTCTAAGGGTCTTTTAAGTTCGAATTTTTGAAGACAACACTTTGATATGGGATCTGATTGTTTGGTGTCTCTTTTATGCAGTCATGTTACTCTAGACGAGACTGACACCTGTTTCATTGCGCCTAGAAATAATCCACCTTTTTCTCTTCTATATTTTGTTTGTTTTTAGTCATCTTTGTTAGCCTTTTCTAAGCAAAATGTGATTCTGAAGCGTCTAAAATCAACTTCGACTCCTGCATGAAATTATGTGGCAAAATTTCCTATTCATCCTCTTTTTTTGGATCAAAGTAGAAGAACGAATATTTTTTGCGTCGATGCAATAGGCGATGAAATGCATTGAACAAGTAAAGGGTTACACAATCAACGCGAATGTATAAAGGCCAAGCAGATGGTTTGGCCATCCACTGATACTGGGAAAAATTGAAGGGTCCCAGCAGCACTTCTCTTCACAAGGGTCGTAAATAATTGCATGAAAACCTTTTGATAAACAATAGACTATTATGATAGGTAGGCTTTAACAAAAAATAGTTTTCAATATCAG